TGACAATAATTATTAACTCAACTCACAGTATTTATCAATAGTAGTATAAAAATATATAAGCAAATATAATAATTTTTGTCATTTCATAGTTGCAGGAGGTCTTAAAATAATTTTTGTCAAAAATTAATAGTGGTTACAGTTACCCTGATCCTCAGCATCAAATCCCATATCTATTCTCACTGTTTTGCTTCTTGGCTCACCATTCTTTCTTCTGTAATTAGGTGAATTTTTGTTTTTATAACATTTCTCCAAAACTCAATGTAGATTTCTCCCATTAGTTGGTAAAGTGGAAACCTAACAAGGCCTTCTTTGAAAAGAAAATAGCTTGACAAAATACATAATAGCTGATATATATGTGTCTACCTAAGGTTTCAATTTTTAAACTTTGAATTAGTCACAAAATATTCATTTCTATTCTCAACTCTCTACCCTATGTAAGTGGGCTTATGGTAAAAATACTCTTACATTGTTATTTATCTTAGCAGCATTAGCACTGCTAATCTATGTTTGTCTTGTTTTTATTTTGTTAACAAGCTGAGAAATCAGTAAGATAGTGGCTATTGAACCCAATAGGGAATGTATCTGAGCTCTTTTGTTGATATACATTTTAACTTCCAATTCTTCTTGAAACTCTAAAATGAAATTTTATTTCAAGACTTGTTTTCACTGTTCCCTCTGTTCTTTTAAATCTCTTACAACAAAAGGTCTAGGAAAACTCTTGAGATAGTCTCAATTTGTTAGAGCATCAATTGTATAAGAAAGTACTTAAATAAATAGATGATAATTTTGGATGGATTATCCCTTGTCTCCATAAGAGCCTGACATTGGCTCCAGATACTCAGATAGTGTGAGGATGATGTGTTGCTTAACAAATGTTTGCTACCTAAGGGTTTGCCATTTACTTCCAGGTTCCAAGTTGGGCTCCTGATTACCGACCTTGTTGGGAACACTTTAGTTGGAAAGAATTAATAAACTGCTCAGATCCTAAAACCTTCCTCCTGGCTCCCCTCATCTTTAATCTGTGCTTCAAACTTCCTCTTACAGAATTCTAAAGCAATAATAGCTCATGCTTGCACGGTCCTTAGTCTCTGGCAGCACTGCTTTAAATCCTTTACATACACTAATCGTTGCATCTTCACAATCATTCTCATGTTATTTTCAATTTCCATATGAGAAGGAGCCACAAAGTGGGTACATGACTTGCCCACAGGCATGTAGCCGTTCAGTGCCAAAGCTGGCACTCTGACACAGGCAGCAGGACTGTAAGGCCTGTATTCCTACCTGCCATGAAATGCAGGTTCCTGACTGCTGTCCTCGGTCTACATGGATATTGGTAGGAACTCGAATGCACAGAGGAAGGTGGCTGGTAATTAGGTTTCACTGCTCAACCTCAGGCATAGCCAGCAACTAGGTCCCTGCCAGCGTTACCTGCTTTCAATCCTATCCAAACTACGGTCAGCATCAGCCACCAACAAAGATCAAGCTTTTTCTATGTGGCAGGCATCTTTCTGAGTATTTTACAAATATCTCTAATCTTTATAGTACTGTTGTCCACTCTAAGGACTGAAGACTCAAAGACGCTAAGTGGCTTATTCAAATAACACAGTGATTGGCAGAACCGACACCCTCATTTCTCAAACACCTCAAGGACAAAGCCTCCATCATTTTCCATCTGCCTATAGGATAGAAGCCAAATTCCTCACTGGCGGGCAAGGTGCCGTGCTATCTTTCCAACCTTATCTCCCACTGGGCTCCAGCTTGACTCCTCTGTCCCAGACTGGCATGTCTGTGCCCTCTCCCCCAACCCCTGGGCTCACTCCCAATGCCCAGCCTTCCATCCATTGTTCCCACGACCTAGAATGTCTTGTTTTTCCATTGTGCCTACTCAATCCTGTGCGACTACAGAATAGTTCAGCCTTCCATCTCACAACAGGGTTCTCTTCCATGAATGCTCCAGGCCCTACCAGTCCCACTTCTCCCTTGATTCGTACCCCTCATAACAATCACTGAGACATTGATCGCACACAGTTGTACACCAAATCATAAGTCAGGCCAGCTGACTCATGCACACTTGAGTCAGGGAGCAGAATACTTTGAATCATATGGTATCTCACTTCATATATATGATCTGAGAGAATTTTCTCTTGACCTGTTGCGCCAAGACCTGGGACAAAAACAGCTTTCTATGGATGAAATGCAAAGTAGATGTAATTTAGCACTGGTGGCTTCTAATATAGCTTCTCCTCCCCACATGTTCTTCCAACACGTGGGGAGTGCATATGTATATGGAAAGTATATATATGTATACATACCTGCTTTCTCCCTATTCTTTTGTTCCTTCCAGTATGCAAATAACAACTACAGCATACATACATTTTACTGTGTGCTAGATACTTTTCTAAGCATGTCATAAGTATTAACTAATTTAGTTTTCCTAACAACCCTTTGAGGCAGGCATTGTTATTAGCCCCCTTTTATAGATCAGGAGACTGAGTCACAGAGCACTTAACTAACTTGCCTAAGGTCACATAGCTGGGATTCAAAATTAGGCATTTGGGCCGGCCTGGTGGCGCACTGCTACAGTGCGCCGCTTGGGAGCGTGGTGGCGCTCCCGCCGAGGGTTCGGATCCCACATGCGGACCGGTTCCCGCTCACTGGCTGAGCGAGGTGCGGGTGCAACACTGAGGGTTGCGATCCCGTTGCCGGTCCTGGTCCGGTACGGGCGCGACACTGAGGGTTGCAATCCGTTGCCGGACACGAAAAAAGACAAAAAGGAAAAAAAAAAAAACAAAATTAGGCATTTAGTTAATATACTACATTGCCTCACCAATAAAATAATGTATTTTTTTTTCTGATAGTGTTAATGCCTAAGTGTTAAAAAAAAAATCAGAAAATGAACAAAGGAGAAAGAGAATATCACCCATAACCCTATTACGCAGGGAGAATTACATAACCTACTCAAGAAGATATAAATGTACACTTGTTTCTATTCCAAAAATGAAACCATACTGTGCATCACAGGTGGTTTTCTTTTGTCTTTTAATTCAAAATTTTAAACAGCTTCATTTATAATTTATAAATGTGTAATGTATAACCATACAAATAATTTTAGTAAATATAAAGTTTTTGCACCAGTACCACAATCCAATTTTAGACCATTCCATCACCTCCAAAATATCTTTTATACCTTTTTTCACTCACTCCCAGTTCCCACCACCAGCCCCTGGCAACTGCAGTCTATTTTCTCTCTATATTGATGTGCCTATTCTGGACATTTCACATAAATGGAATCACACAATAGGTGATCTTTTGAATCTGGCTTCTTTTACTTAGCATAATGTTTTTGAGGTTCATCTATGCGGTAGCATGCATTATTACTTCATTCCTTTTGGTTGCTGAATGATATTCCATTGCATGAATATGTCACACCTTGTTTATACATTCACCTGTTGATGGACATTTGGGTTGCTTCAAATGAATAATGCTGCTATGAATATTTACATACAAGTCTTTGCTTGAACATATGTGTTCAATTCTCTGGAGTAGATACCTACAAGTGAAATTGCTGGGTCATATGGTAAGTTTTCTAAAATGTACAATTTTACATTCCCACCAGCAATATATGAGAGTTCTATTTTCTCCATATCTTTGTCAATACTTTGTCTATCTTTTCGATTATAGATATCCTAGTGAGTATGAAGCAATACCTTATTGCAGTTTTGACTTGCATTTCCCTAATGATAAGTGATATCAAACATTTTTTCATGTATTGATTGCCCATTCAAATATTTTCTTTGGTAAAATGTCTATTCAAATCTTCTCTACGTTTTTCAGTTGGGTTGTTTGTCCTTTTCTTATTGAATTGTAAAAATTCTTCATATATTCTGGATACAAGTCCTTTAACAGATATATGATTTCTAAATATTTTTTCATAGCCTATGACTTGTCTTTTCATCTTCTTAATGGTGTCTTTTGAAGTTCCCGCACCTTGCTCAGCCAGTGAGCGGCCGGTCTGTATGTGGGATCCGAAACCTCGGCGGGAGCGCCCACGCTTCCCAAGCGGCACACTGTAGCAGTGCGCCACCGGGCCGGCCCCTTTAATGGTGTCTTTTGAAGCATCTTCTTAATGGTGTCTTTTGAAGTACGAAAGTTTTGAATTTTGATGAAGTCCAATTTATCATTTCTTTTTTCTTTTATTGCTTTTGCTTTGGGTGTCATATCTAAGAAGCCTTTGCCTGACCCTGACATATTTTAAAAATGTTTTCTCCCCACTATCAGTATTTCTTGGACATATTTCTAAGTCAATAAATACGGGTCTGTATCATCATCTTTATAGCTTTGGTTTCTGAAAAGAGGAGAGGGAAGAAAGGAGACAACAGGGCCAGGCTGCTCAAAATTTCCAGTATGACTCCGTTCTTGGAGACTTCCTGTCTCTTTTTTGGATCGTCTCCTGTCTGGTACCTTCTCTGTGGTTTGTGAATAAAAACTTTAGTAGGCTATCATAACAATGTTTTATGTTTCAATACCTTGGTCACACAGATTTCTAGCCCCAAATTTTCTGTGGGCTTAAATCCCTTCGTCACAGATTCTAGTGGTGGGATGCTTATAAGGAACATATATTCCTCTGTGATTTGGAATTTGACCGGTGCTTCTTCCAAATGTAAATATGGTAAAAGAAAAATACATAGTGGATAATAGCAATTGGCATGTGTGTTTAATGGAAGACTTCAAATGAATGAATATTCCTGAATGAAACAGTGGTTACACTATTCTATTTAACAGGTTCCAATATGGGATGGATGGCTGCGTCCTGGCCCCTGTCAGGAGTAGAATGTCACTGGCTTCATGGATAGGGTATGAGGTACTGCATAAAGCCAGAAGCTTTTTTAGGAATATATATATATTTTTTCTTTCTTTCTTTCTATGAGGTACTGCATAAAGCCAGAAGCTTTTTTAGGAATATATATATATTTTTTCTTTCTTTTTTTTTTTTTGGCAGCTGGCCAGTAAAGGGATTGAACCCTGTACCTTGGTGTTATCAGCTCCACGCTCTAGCCAACTGAGCTAACCGGCCAGTCCCCAGGAAATAAATTTTAGATTGAGAACACTATTGGAGAAAATCCAGACTGAGCAAAAGGGCCTGTGCGAGAGGCCTCAGAATTAGAACAGGAAAGGCAGATGAGAGGATTTCAGAGCTAAGCACTGAAAATGCTAAAAGAGATGGCCACTGGAAAACCATTTTGATGAGAAGCCAAGTAGTGTGTTCATTGCTCCTTTGGAGAATTAACTCCCCTAAGTTTGGGGCCCAGAATTGGAAAGGTGAGTACTAACATTGGTGGAAAGCAAAGAGAGTAGGGGAGGGGTGCAGGAGCAGCCCCCGCCCCCCCGGGTGGACAATGGCCACTGGAAGGTTAAGGACGTGGCAGTGAGCAGAGGCATGTAAAGGGTCAAGGAAGAGCTCATCCGAGCTGTAGGTAACTATGAGAGGCTGAGAAGTGCAGAGGGAGATCATACACATGCTTTAAGACCCAGCTTAAGGTCTTTAACTTTTGTTTTTCACATGGAAAACAACACCAAGCCACCGCAGGTGCCCACTACTGTGTGCATGGAATATACTGGAAAACTAAGAAACAGAGAGACCAGCTGGAAAGTACCCCAGAGATTCAGACTTGAGGTGAAGGGCCGGCCTTAGAGGGACACATGGGTGTGTAGGAAGAAGGGTGTGCAGTTGCGAAGGAGGGGGAGAAGGAAAAGAGGGAGGAAATGGGATGGAAGGAGGAAGGAGGAGGGGTGGGATTGAGGCCTCTGGCACCGGCACCCCCTCAACCCTCAGTTTTTTAAAAGGCTGAGTTTCAGGGCCTGCAAAGCTTAAGTGAAGCTGCCTCAAAGGTAAGAAGCTATAGTCACCTAACGTGAGAAGCAGCAAGGGCTGGAACCATAGATGTGAAAGTCATCCTGATCCAGGAGGTAGAAATCTTGTGAGCAAATGAACAAGGTGCAGGAAGGCGTAAATGGGGAGCAGAAAGGCCCAAACTTTGAAATTCTTTCCCGAGAAAAAACCACTTTCCGAGTTGGCTGTTGCCAACGTTTGCTCTATCGAACTCGGAGAATGTGCCTTATTGGGGCGAAGGGAGATAGTGGCCTCACAGGGTGGTCTGCACTTTTTCCAAGCAGCACGCACGAGACTCTGCTCTTGACCTGGAAGACCAGCTTCCTCGGTGCAGCATGCTCTGGCAGCTGGGTCTCCGCGCCTTGGAGAGCTGGGGGTGTGGGGGGTGGGGTGGGTGCAGCTTGCAGCGGCTCTGCAGCAATCGTCTTGAGTGCTTGCTCCAGGTGCAAGCTTGCACGCTACGGGAGCACTGTGGCTGGAGTTGGGGGGCGGTGGGCGTGGCAGCGCTCCAGCGCGCCTTCTCTCGCCCCTTCAGACCCGGGAATGTTCTGAAAAGTATCCAAAAGTTCTGTGCCGCGGGCGCGCCAAAAGGGGGGAAATAAAAGCACACCCCTCCCCCACCCCTCCAGGCGTTGCGTGTCCCGACCTCGCCACTCGGACTGCACCTCCGGCTGCGGCGCACACGCCTCCCGCGCCTCCTCCTTGGGAGCCTCGCCGTCCGTTGTGTGCTCACTTGCAGCCGTCTCCGGACGGGAGAGGTGGCCGCAGAGCCCTTGCGCTTCTTTGGGGGGCACCATGGCCAACGACGACGATGCATTCAACAAACCTTCCGCACCGTCGGAGGCACCTAACGCCCCCGAGGCATCGCCGCAGGGCAAGGCCGGGAGCAGCAGCGGCGGAGGCGGCTCGGGCTCCGGGGCGTCGGGGTCCGGGGCGTTGGGCCTGAGCGCCTCGAGCAAGAAGTCCCCGAGACTGCCCAAGTGTGCGCGCTGCAGGAACCACGGCTACGCGTCGCCGCTCAAGGGCCACAAGCGCTTCTGCATGTGGCGGGACTGCCAGTGCAAGAAGTGCAACCTGATCGCCGAGAGGCAGCGCGTGATGGCCGCGCAGGTGAGTGCGGGCGCCCAGGAGTTGGGGTGCAGCCCCGACGGAGCTGCTTGGTGAAAGCCCCTCCAACGTGGCCAGCGCCACGCGGGGCCCGGGTCCGGGAGGGACGCCGTGCTCGCCGACGGCTGTGCTAGCTCGGAGCCCAGGGCTGCCAGCCACGCGCCGGCGCCACGCTCGGAGGGGGACGCGTCCCCTCTGATCCCAGCCGAGCAGAGCGCGGCGGGGTTGGCTCCGCTCGGGGGTCCTCGCCACCTCTGACCCCGCTCTCCAGTAATTTCGGGGTTCTGTTCCACGCGAGTCCCTGGGATATCTAACTCCTCTCCCCAGCAGAGAGCGGCGTGGTTGGCTCCGCTCGGGGGTCCCCAGAATCTCTGAGCCAGCTCTCCGACGGGGAGTTGCGGGGTTCGCCCATACGGGAGCCCCCGGGGTCCCAGAACGCTCCCTCCAGCAGAGTCCCGGGCTTCGCTCTGCTTGGGGGGGGGTCCCCACGATCTCCGACCTCGCTCTCTGTGTGGAGGGTTGCGGGGTTCGCTGCCCTCGGGGGTCCCCGGGACCTCTGACTCCACCTCGCAGCGGAGTTGCGCTGAAATTGAGGCTCCTTGTGTGTCCTCCCGACTGCCGCTTCCCCGGGTAACGTGTCGGGAAGCCGTGTATTTCTGGAAGAATCCCTGTAACGGACGCCACCGCGGCGTGGTCCTGCTTGTGCGCTTGGCGCACTTTCTGTCCTCGCCCCAGTGGGGGGAGGGAGCGCCTCAGCCATTTTGAGCACCGTGGGCATTTTATGAGCATTTCTACATTTGCAGTCTCGGTCCTAGTCACTCACGTGCACATTACTTCGGATTTTGATTCACGCTTACAAATTAAAAAAAATATGCGCAAGGGGGAAAACGTATGAGTTTGAGTTTTTTGTCGGTTGTTCATGATTTATTTTTTAAGCTGCATAAGCAGGCTAGTAATTTAGCATCTTAACGGAAATAGTTAATGTCGTTGGTATCCTAAAAGTATTTTTAGAAGACAGTAATATACATTCTTTCTAGCTTAAAGTTGTTTCATTTTAGAACAGCTATAAGCAGGCTAGTAATTTAGCATCTTAACGGAAATAGTTAATGTCGTTGGTATCCTAAAAGGATTTTTAGAAGACAGTAATATACATTCTTTCTAGCTTAAAGTTGTTTCATTTTAGAACAGCTTATTTAAAATGAAAAGATATCCAAGAAATGTTTGCTAACGATGTGCTACTTTTGATTAGGAACGTGTAAATATCCTCCATTGAAAATGATTTAGATAAGGACGTTGAACACGACTGCACAAATGCTTAAAGATTGTATACTTTTAATGTACATCAGATTTTTAAAAATGTGTTTTGAATGATATATTTTGGCTTCACCGATTGCCAAGTGCAGTCATGAAAATATAGGTTGCTTTCCTTTTGTTTTCATAGGTTCTTAGCTTAATCTATACTAGATGAAAAAAATACACTCTGGGTGTAGCATTAAAATGCATTACAACGAGATTACTGAAAAAAAACTTATGGATTTTTTCATTATACTTCTAGGTAGGTTGCCTTAAATATTTAGCATGGAGACTATGCTTGGGGGATTTCTCTTCAAAATATAATAAATTTATCCTAATAGGGGCATTAATTTTGAGAAACTTATTAGTAGAGGGACTAGTTTTGAGGAGGCTGTTTGCTATGTTAAGAACAAAAGCAACTCAAGATTACTTTTGGAATGTTAAACTTCAATATTTTTCATACCAGAAGGCTTGTGCTATGCTAAATGTATCCTTAAATATCTACATAGCACCTACTTTTTAGTCATTCTAAAATAGTTTGAAATTGATCTTAGATATGATTCTAAAATAATTGCATTTTCAATCATTGCCACCCCCTTCCTCGTTTGAATAACATTTCCTAAGCAACCTTGAGAGGAAGGTCTTTATAAAGATGCTCTTCGTTTATGGAATAGAGACACTATGCATTTTGGGTATGCTTGGGGTTCGTGGAAATCAGGGTGTATGTATGCGTTGACATACCTCAGAGATTTGCAGCATTTTAAAACTTATTTCTGGTCAAAGTCTCTGATATTCTCATTCTAAGCCTTTTGGCTGGTAATAGAAAATCCAAGATTTAAGCGTAGTTATTTAATCTTAAATAATTGATTATTTAAGGTTAGTTTTTCTAAGTTGAACACTCCTTTGGTTATGAGTAAAAATTACTTCCAAATTAGTCAGCTTTCTGTGTTTGGACTACAGTTTTCTGAAAACAGTATAGAAATTATAGTTGTGCTTCTTATTTAACATTTTGATTTCACCTTTTGGCTGGCTTCACTTTCTTATTTCATGATCACCAATACTGTGGTCAATTTCAACAGAAAGTGTTTTTTTGTTGTTACATGTACTAAGCAAAAATACAATTTATCTTCTTTAAACCTTTTTCCAACCTTTAACAATGTTGTTTAAAAGACTATAAATTGAAGAAAGACCATGAAGAATTTCTTAGGTATGTCAGGTTCTTTCCAGTCCCCATTGCCAGCTCTCCTTCCCTCCTGCCTGGAATGACACACCTGTCCTCTCTCCCTCTCCCCACCTCCACCCTCTTCTTCCTTAGGGGACTTCAACGACAGATTCTAGCCCCTTTCCCCCATTGCTTCTCCACATGCTCCCTCTACCCCTGGGAATCAGGGCTCTGCAGGGGTTCCTAAACAGCCTCTGCCTTTCCTGTTCCAGATAGTTCTGTCCCTTCATCCTTGCCTGTCCAAGTTCCACTCATCTTATTTTTCAGGGCTCCATTCAGGTACTACCTGCAGCTGATTCTTGCATTTTATAGATATTTCTATCTCTGAACTTCTTCTGTAGTATTGATTTGTGTCTCTCCCGTAGTGTTTATCGCATTATTTATGTTTTGTGTTGTAGCTGCATGTTTGCTTGACTCCTCTTTCTCCTTTTAAACAGTCAGTAACTTGGGATCCAGTCTAATCTTAGTGGTTGCTGTTCCTGTACAGTGGCCTTATATGTATTTGTGGAACGAAGGTGAGCGATCCCATTCTCCTTCCTGCCTAATCTATCAGTGCTTCTTACTTTTTCTGCTCTTAGATTGAAATCATCTCCTTAACTCACTCTACACTTTTTCCTGATCCTCCTAGCCAGACTCATTTTCTGATACTCTGCACACTCATTTGTTTAGCAAGTACTTTCTGAGCACATACTGTGGGCCAGATACTCTGGCTCTGAACCATTTCTCAGCTTTGGCTGCACATCACAGTTACCTTGGTAGCTTTAAAAAGAAGTGAGAGATTCTCAGAGCTCATCCCAGAGCTAGTGAATCATGGTGTCTGGGGTGAACAAGGCTTCTGTGGATTCGGCAAAGCTGCATAAGTGATTCTGGAGTGCTGTCCTGTGCTTCCAGGTGGCCCTGAGAAGACAGCAGGCTCAGGAGGAGGAACTGGGCATCAGCCACCCCATTCCACTGCCCAGCGCACCTGAGCTGCTTGTCAAGAGAGAGAACAACAGCAGCAACCAGTGCCTGATGACTGAGAGCAGCAGCTCCTCGCAGCCACCGCCAGCCAGTACTCCCACCACTGCAGCTTCAGGTAACCTGGGGCTCACGGGCCTAGGGGAGGGCAAGGGCTGTCGCCACAAAAACCGAGTCTCTGGAATCTCCTGAGCCACACATAACATTTAGAGCTACAGGATTTTCTTAAAGGATTCTCCTTCTGTCTGCTTTTGGCTGCCTCACAAAGGAGATGGCCATGAATTCTAGAAATGGAGGTTCAACAGCTTCACTGTCCTGTTGATGAACAGTAAAAAGGGAATTGGGACAATGTCAGAGAGGAGCGAGATGATTCAAATTTCCTCTCGGTCCATCCCTCCATTTTCGGGTTATCTTGGTGAGGGCTAAAGATCCTTGTTTCCTGGAACTGGAAGTTCATTTCTCCACAAGGATGGCGTCCACCAGTGTCTGAGAAGGCCACATCCTACGTGTCCAATTTGAATGGGTGCTGGGAAGTGACATGGGAAAGCATGCCACATTGGCTTGAATTCGCTGCCATGTGCTAAGCACTGTTCATGGGCTGTGTGGATGCTAATTCATCTCACTTCATTCCCAGAGTAACCTTAAGGTAGGAGATATTAATCCTCTTTTACTCATGTGAAAACTGAGGTACAGGAAGTTAAGTGACTGGCCAGGTGTACTGACTAGGAAGTATCTGAGTCAGTCCATCCAGAGCTCAGTGTGCTTACTGCACTGGGCCTCCAGGTTACTTCAAGAGTCACAGTGGTCTAGAGCTGCACTGTCCAGCACCAAAGGCCCTAGCCACATGTGGCTATTTAAATTTAAAGGAATTACAATGAAATAAAATGAAAGCATTCAGTTTCTCCATTGCACTGGTCACATTTCATGTACTCAATAGCCACATATAGCAAAGGGCTATCATGTTGGATGATGCATTTCCATCTCAGAAAGAGAGAGATGTTGATGGAGTAGAATGCAGGAAGATCTATGGAATCCTGTTGTTTCTGGCAGTTACATACACATAATGCAATTCACAGAATGTCTTTAGAGTCTGCTAAGGCTCCATGAAATGCAGCCTCGCAGTGTGGTACCACCTTAACTAAGCTTTCATGTACTACTCAGTTAACAGGACTTAACCACTGAGCTAAAGTTGCTCAACTGCATGTCATTAACTAGCTGTGCACCTTTGGACCAGTCACTTAAGCTGTCTGGGTCTTTTGTTTCCTCTTCTCAAAAAAGAGGGAGAGGGTTCTTGAGGGTCTTGAAGATCCTATGAGTCTTCATCATTATAAAGGAGGAGGAGGAAAGCAGACACCAAAGAAAGCAGGTAGGTGTGTCTGTGTGTCTGACTCTGTGTGTGTTATTGGAACTAGGGATTCTGTAATTAACAAAGGATGGGGTTCTCTCTCTCTCTCTCTCTCCCTCCCTCCCCCCATCTCTCCGTCCTTCTGGCTTGTTTTTTTTAGTTGCTCATAGTATATACTTAGAACAGTTTCCATTCTTTGCCTTTCATAGGAAGGTAGGAATCTATCTATCAGAAATATGATCTTCACACTTTGGGATTTTGAGAAGATGTGTCCAAGGCTTAGTGACTAAATGATATGGGGTCAGGGCCGAGCTGGTGGATATAACTGCATGGCTGGGATGAGAACTGGGGTGTACCACGTGAGTCAAGGGGGCGGGGGTTGCAGTGCTCAGATTTATGTAGGGGAGTGACTTATTTGATTTTCACAAACATCCCATGAGGTAGGAGTTCTCATCCCCATTTACAGATAAGGAAACTGAAGCTTAGTAAATGGTAAAGAAACTCCCACAGAATAAAGCTGGGATTCATTCCAGGCCTGTCTGGTCTCGAAGCCCGTGATTTTCTATTTCACTTGTCTGTGAGGTGAGGTGGGGGACCAGTTGCCATGTTTCCTTGGAAAATGGACAGTTATGATTCTTTACATGCTGTGATTCAATCCTCAGAAAGATTTGGGTTAATGGGTGAATAGGAACAATGTTAGGGACAAAAGTCTTGCCATTCTCCCTCAGCACAGAAGACTGCAGCCCCTGGCCTTTCGGGGAGAAGTACAGGGAAAGGCCTGGGATGGATCAGCATCAATGCTAGGCATTTTTAAGGGCACCGGAGGTGGACTTGGGCTTGTCTGACGTCCTACAGTCCACTTTGGGGGAAGGGATGTGGTATGATGTCAGAGTGTGAAGATAGTGGAGCTTTGGAGAGGGATTTCAGGCTAGATGGAGTTCAGAATGATGAAGTCCTCGCAGGGTATTTCGGAGTGGTGATAGGGAAAGTTACAAAAAGAAGCATGGGAGCAGGATACAGGGTTCAGGGTCAAGGAGGGTGTAACCAGACTCCCTTCTTGGCCTCTAGAACTGGCAGATCTTGAAGTCAGCCTGGAGTCTTTGAACCAACACTCACAGGGAAGGGGAGTGTGGCAGCCAGTTGTGTGCCGTGCTCATCTGCTCAGGTGCAGGTGGGCAGGCATTGTGCTGGGAGGCTATGCCTCCCAAAGGAAGGTGGGCGCTCTCCCGGCAGCTCAAGTCTGCAGCCAGGAGCTGTGGGTCCTCATTCTCAGGGCTCCTACCAGACCTGAGGGGGAGTGATAACTGCCAGACTGAGCAAGGATGTGAGCAAGAGGGAAACAGGTGCCAGTAGAATTAAACTATACAAATACATGGAGAAGGAGGGAAGGAGAGAGAGAAAACTAGAGAGACAGATGGACAGACTGATTGAAGAGAGTCCTGAAGCTTTTATGAAGCAAATGCAGCTCACCTTCTTAGCTTGCTACTAACAAATATATAGCTTATATTAATTTTTCAGAGATTGGATTTATTTAAAATAACATTAACTTTATGCAGGTAAGTGGTGAACATTTATAGAAGACTATGAAAGCGTATTCAATGACAGATGATTGTTCTTCCAACACCAACCTGCAGCTCTCTGCTCTCTGTTGTTCCAGGATTGCTGGCTGCGTGCATGGGCTTATGTGCCTGTTTATCCTTTTCACATAGTTCTATAAAAATATTTACATATTTAATATAATGGGAACATATTGTTCCTACTTGTGGGTAATTAGCTTTTATTCATCAAATACAGCTTGGAATTTATTTCATCTTTTTGAGTGGGTGGCCAGTACGGGGATCTGAACCCTTGACCTCAGAGGTATAACAGTGCTTGAACCAGCTGAGCTTACCAGCTAGCCTCCAGCTTGGAGTTTTTAATGGCCTAGAATTCCGTTATATAGATGTGGAAAGCCAGGATTGGAAATTATTTAGCCAGAGGCAAAAGTTGTAGGAGTTGTCATGAAAGAACAGTAAAACCTACCAACCTGGCTCACCTAGGGAAAAGTTTCTAATTACTCCTTTCTAATACCTGAGGTCTGGTGTCTACTAGGCCAATAGCTTGGTAAAATCTAGTAGATTTTTATGTCCTTGAAGTTTCTTAGCTATCTCTTTTTGGCTCCTGAAAGTGCCAAAAGTGAGAGGGAGAAATGACCAACAATTATTGCCAAGATGATTGGCTGAATTCTGAGGACACTTTGAAGGAGACTGGATTTGCCAAGCTGTTGTTTCATTTATTTGGAGTAGGATTGTGTACGTTAGAAGAAAGTGTCTACAATCCTTAGCCAAAGATTGACCAAGATTGACCAAAAAACTGACCAGATATTCCTTAAATAATGTATTAAAAGATTCTTGTTATTTTATTCTATGTTTGTGGGTACTGTTGAAAGAAAGAACCTTTTGAAGAAATTATCTGTTCATTGCTGTTTCTTATATGAGTGGGATCAGATGTTAGCAGGTATACTATTGATTAGTGGATAGGTTTTCTTCCCAGCCATTTTCCCAGGGGAAAAAAAAAAAAAGCTGAGTATTTTTGGCTATAAATGACAGTGAATAACAATTTCAACATTTTCTCTGTGGTTTCATTTTTGGAATTTTAGCATAAAGTGTACTTTTTAATTTCAAAAAAAACTGACCAGATATTCCTTAAATAATGTATTAAAAGATTCTTGTTATTTTATTCTATGATTGTGGGTATTGTTGAAAGAACCTTTTGAAGAAATTATCTGTTCATTGCTGTTTCTTATACGAGTGGGATCAGATGTTAGCAGGTATACTATTGATTAGTGAATAGTTTTTTTATTTCCCAGCCATTTTCCCAGGGGGGAAAAAAAAAGCTGAGCATTTTTGGCTATAAATGACAATGAATAACAATTTCAACATTTTCTCTGTGGTTTCATTTTTGGAATTTTAGCATAAAGTGTAATTTTAATTTCAGAAGTCACCAGCTGATTTTTTAAATCTGAGGCATTCTTCCTCTTTGTAAAGTTGGGCTCCTCTTTGTTTTATTTTATATTCTAATTTTTCTTCAACCTCCTGTGTGCCTGTAGAATGCTGTTTTACCCAGTCCTTATGCTAAGGTCTGCATAGTTCTTTGCCTCTCCTTTTCTGTGCAGAAACTGTCAGATGAAGGTTGCATTGTAGATAATTGGGTTCTGCATATGTGTCCTTTGTAAGGACTTGAATATTATCTCCTGTGGGGCTCTCCCTTCTGGAGCACTCTGCACTTCCATCCACACTCACATTCGTCCTCCCCCAGATCAAACCACCTCCTACCGTCTCAGGACTTCCCTGGCAGCTCCACTGCTCAGTTTCACTCACCTTCCCCTTTTGGAAGGGTTGGTCAGGTCTCTACATAATATCAGAGGGGCCCCTCAGGGGCCGGCCCGGTGGCGCACTGCTATTTAAATTTAAAATAACATTTCAGTTTTTGCCCTAAAAATCCTCTGTGGGATTATTTAAATTTACAATAACATTTCACTTTTTATCTTTATAGCACTTCATTCAAATGAACAATAAGAGCATTTTATTAAAATTGGGTTGGGAGTTGATTTTTGAAGGATTCTAGCCACTTACATGAGATGAGCTGCATCTGACTTTAGACAGAGCTCTCAATTACAAGTGGAACAGGATATGATATTAGGTATAAAAAAGTCTTTGGATGAAAGCATTCCCAAATTTTATTTTCAGAGTCAAAGAAATTTCCAGGATGTCCAACAAAACAAAACTCCTTAA